TTTTTTTTTTTTAGTGATCTTACTATGTTGCTCAGGCTGGAAAGGGACATATTTTTGTCTAGAGCAGGCATCTACGACCCACGGGCCACATGCAGCCCTCCTAGGACATTTATCCGGCCAACCGGGTGTTTTTGCCACTGCTGCCTGTCCTGCTTAGCAGCCGGCTCATCCTGGGGCCCGCAGTCCAGCCCTCCAGTGGTCTGAGGGACAGTGAACTGGCCTCCTGTTTAAAAAGTTTGAGGACTCCTGGTCTAGAGGATCCTGGTGTCTCTTAAAACACTGTGCTCAGGGAGAACTCAGTAATGGTAAATGAAGAAAGGCATGACCGCTGCTATAACTTGGAAGGCCTAAAAGATAAAGCAGGGCCTCCTTTATGGTGAGCCAGACTGACTTCAATATGAATAAACGGAAGTCATTAGTCTCTTGATTCTGGAACTACAAAAGCTAACAGGGGCAATGCCCAAAGCATATTCGTTCCCGAAAGGAATTTATATACATCAAAGTAATGTTAGCGAATTTGGTTATTTCCAGATAATAAGATTGGGGATCAGGGAGATCTGAGTGCTAATCTCCCCTTGGCAATATACTACTCATGACTTGGGTTTAACTTCTCAAAACTTTACTTTTTTCACTTGCAAAACAGGCATAGCAGTAGTGATTGTATGAGGAAATACATGTGGAGTGTTGGCCCAGGGCCTAGCGTGGAAAGCATTAGCTATTATTTTTAAATCTTCCTGTGCAAAAGAGGCAAACCTTGCCCTCAAGATGCTTATGCGGTAAGGATAGGCATCTCTCAAATCAGTTACTATTGGATATAATGATTCCAATAAAGTATAAAGGGTTACATAGCTGCTAAGTAGCAGAGAGTGAGGACTGTAAACTAGTAGGAGTTTTGATCCTTCTACATTTTTGTTTGTTTGTTTTTTGCAGTTTTTGGCCAGGGCTGAGTTTGAACCCACCACCTCTGGCATATGGGGCTGACGTGCTACTCCTTTGAGCCATAGGCGGCACTACTTCTTTGAGCCACAGGCACCACCTGTTTCTTCTACACTTTTAAAGGACATCCTTTAGCAGCAGGTAATTTTTAGGACATAGGAAAGGAAATGCATTTTTGTGCATATAATGAACTCAGTACTTGTAATACTGATACTTATGGGATGACAGGTCTACATAGATAATTTAAAGGACATTAGATATGCACTGTATAGCTACAGCTGCATGGAAGATAAACACTTGTCCCCCAAAATCTCTTTTGTGAGGCTCCTATTAGACACTCCTTGACAGAATTGCCATTGGTCTGATCCAGTTGAATGTTTTTGTTTGTTTTTTGAGACAGGGTCTCACCTTGTTGCCCTCAGTAGAGTTCTGTGCTGTTCACAGCTTACAGCAACCTCAATCTCTTTGGTTTAAGCCATTCTCTTGCCTCAACCTCCCAAGTAGCTGACACTACTGGCCCCTGCCACAACACCCGGCTATTTCATTTATTTATTTTTTGAGACAGAGTCTCCCTATGTTGCCCTGGGTAGAGTGCTGTGGCATCACAGTTCACAGTAACCTCGAACTCTTGGGCTTAAGCTATTCTCTTCCCTCAGCATCTCAAGTAGCTGGGACTACAGGTGCCTGTCACAATGCCCAGCTATTTTTTTTGTTATTGTTGTAGTTGTCATTGTTGTTTAGCTGGCCTGGGCTGGGTTTGAATCCACCAGCCTTGGTGCACATGGCCAGTGCTGTAACCACTATGCTGTGGGTGCCAAGCCCCAGTTGAATGTTGAAGGAGAAAAAAGGCTCATCTTCTGACAAAAGTATAACCATCCTGTCAGCTTAATTAAGGAAGAAAGTGTGAACAGATGAGGGGCAGAGTGATACAGGGCTCCCCCATTCAAGGTTGGACAGGGAACCCCAGTTTTCCTAGGCCTGGGCAATTTCACGAAGGGACTCCCTGACCTTTTGCCTTGAGCTGGAAGGACTGTATTCATTTCATTGTCTATAAAGCTCATTAACATTGAAAACACATTTCCATTTGCCAAGTCCTGGCCAATTGTAATTCTCAAAATCCAATACCCTTAGACAAAGAACACAAGTAGAGACTCCCAACTTGGGTCTTTCTGTCTGCCAGAAGCTCTGGGGCTTTTTAGTCCTTCTGTCCAGAAGTTCGGGTGCTTTTTACTCCTGTATTCCTTTCTGTCTAATAAAATCCTATCTTATCCTGATCTGTGGTCCATGGGTTCATTCTTCAAATCCCTGAGACCAAGGACCTACTAGAGAAAGAAATTCTAGGCTCGGCGCCTGTGGCTCAAGTGGCTAAAGTGCCAGCCACGTACACCCAAGGTGGCGGGTTCGAATCCAGCCTGGGCCCACCAAACAATGATGGCTGCAACCTAAAAATAGCAGCTGGGCATTGTGGTGAGTGCCTGTGGTCCCAGCTACTTGGGAGGCTGAGGCAGGAGACTCGCTTGAGCCCAGGAGTTGGAGGTTGCTGTGAGCTGAAATGCCACAGCACTCTACCCAGGGGGACAGCTTGAGGCTCCTGTCTCAAAAAAAAAAGAGAAAGAAATTCTATTAACAAGAGTAGGGGCGGCACCTGTGGCTCAGAGGAGTATGGCACCAACCCCATATGCCAGAGGTGGCGAGTACAAACCCAGCCCTGGTCAAAAACTGCCAAAAAAAAAACAGGAGTAGGGGTGGAAAGGGGCCATCCTTTTCTTTTCCATCATGAAGGATCACAGTTGCTATTCCTATAACAACAGGCAGATTAATAAGAGAAAAATATAATAAATTGACTGCATTTGATCGAATCGAAGTTTTACATGACGCAGGAACCTTTAGAGTGAAAACCCAAACGTATGAGGAAAACTTTCTGATTTTATGCTTAGATTCAATAAAGCAGGGACCACTGTGAAGGAGTGTGATTGGACAAAAAAGGCCATGAGCTAATGGTAATAGACTGAGATGGAAAACCTAGCAAGGCCTGTCTTGTAGCGTTTCTCTGTTATAGCATGGAATGGGCCAGGACCCTTTTCTGGAATGGGGGTCTTATGACCTACTGTGAAACTGGGTAGGTCAGAGAGTTTCCTTATGGCCAGCTCTTACACAGAAAGGTAGGGAGGGTTAGAGGAATATTTTTAGGATTTATGACTGGCTTGAGAAAAAGGAGTTCTGGTTTCTATAACCTGCCAGGAGGAAGAGGAATTCTGGTTTCTATGACTTGCCTTCTGATTCCCTGCCCTTAATAAAATTAATGGGATGGATACATTTTCTGCTAGGTAGTTATATCTTCAAAGGATTGCTTTATGAGAGACAAAGTACAAATGTTTAGTAAAGGTTTATTTTCTTTCTTTCTTTCTTTCTTTTTTTTTTTTGAGACAGAGTCTTAGGCCGCAGCCTTTGGTAAAGTGCTATGTGTCACTACTTACCGCAACCTCAAACTCTTGGGCTTAAGTGATTCCCTTGCCTTAGCCTCCCAAGTAGCTAGGGCTACAGGAGCCCACCACAACTCCCAGCTATTTTTTTGTTGCAGTTGTCATTGTAGTCTAGCTGGCCTGGGCCTTGGTTCGAACCAGCCAGTCTCGGTGCATGTGGCTGGCGCTGAACCACTGTGCTACAGGCACTGAGCCTCTATTCTATTTATTTCATATCATTTCATTTTTTTGAGACAGAGTCTCACTCTGTTGCGCAGGCTAGGTAGAGTGCCATGGCTTCTGCTTAGTTCACTAGAACCTCAAACTCCTGGCCTCAAGTGATCCTCCTGCATCAGCCTCCCACGTACTTGGGATTACAGGTGTCTGCCACAACCCCTGGCTAATTTTTCTATTTTTAGTAAAATTGAGGTCTTGCTTGGTTGCTTGCTCTGGCTAGTCGTAAACTCCTGACCTCAAGCAGTCCTCCCAGAGTGCTAGGATTACAGGTGTGAGCCACTGCACCCAGCCTTTAGTAAAGGTTTAAAACAGAGGGTCC